TGAAATGAAACACTAATAGCTTGAAGAGCAGCAGTGCTGATCAACCCTGCTGGTACCAGGTGAAACATCACCGATGTTCAGGCCCCTCCTAAAACTTAAAAATAGTGAGAGAATTTACTAAAGATATACTCTATCATCTATGAATACCCCCAGCCATTATTCACAATACAGCGATAATGACTTGACTCACACCTAAAGAAATCAGCAGATGGGCTCTTTCTTCTTCATATAGAAATGTCAGTTAAATATAAAGAAGGATAAAGCTAACAGACTTATGCACCAACTATGCCAGAACATAAACAAATATTGCCAGGTGTAGGAATCTTTACTTTAGACACATGTTCCTTCAAATTATTTATATATATAAAATTTCTTTACTAAATTCCAGGATAGCTTTACATAACAGACATTGGAAATGTGATCTCTGCTGGCTGCCACTAGATTTCTGCTTATATTGCTAAGTTAGTGATTGTACAAGTGTGCAGTGTGTCTTTAATCGCTACCACCAGGAGGAAATTTTCCCTTAGGATTTATTAGCTAATAACTTCCTCCCTCACCGAGTTGTAAATCCACAAAAGTCTTTGGCAAACCGGTAATTTGCCTTCTTGGAAGCCAGATGTGAAGGACTCAAACAGGTGGGAGCCGTAACTACAAACATAGGAATGTAATAAAATTAGCAATTACATGTATTTGTATGGCACCCTCATAAAGTTATTCTCTCAGTAAACTTTAAGTATCCACTCAAGTCATACTTAGGTGCGAAGTAAATGTTTTCAAGAGCCAATAAATTAATTTAATAAATTAATTATTCGTTTTGCAACATTCTTAACCATTCAAGCTGTAGGGTTTTTAGCACAGTAGCAGTATCTGTAGTGCTGCAGTATCTATAGTGCTGCAGGATGGCTCAGTTCCAGTGTGTTTGCTTCCTTTCAGCCACCTGTTTGAAGTTGTATTAATGAGCACACTGGAGGTACTATGTGTAGAGTACTTGAGGACACATAATCCAAAAGGCACAGCAATATATATGTAGAGCAATATATATACTATGCCATAAGGCAAACGTGTACTTAGAACATGTAAATGGGTTTGCTCTTAGGGCCCAGGAAATGTGGTGAATGGAAGGTGTGCTTGAATTTTCTCATTCCGAGCCGTTGTACCGGAGCCCAGGTGTAAAGGTGCTCATGATGAGGAGGACATGCATGAGAACCTAGTCTTTCAGCATCCAGGTCTGCTCACCTGGAAATAAGCTCCTAATCCTCAGGAAGATGTGGTGGGAGGCTTTAGCATTTATTAAGGTGCTATTATTGAGCTGCTTTCTGGTGACAGGGGTGTGTGACTAACACGGAGTCATGCTTCCAAATTTCAGCTACTTGGTAGCAGCCTGAAGTTCTGCCTCTCAAACTCATGCGAGTCAGGAATTGCAGTATCTCCTCCTTGTCATCTTCTCATTTAGATGTGGTGCTTTGAGACATGCTTTAGCGGGCACGGTGGCGTTGGGTAAAAGGTTGGACTTGATGATCTTTGAGGTCTCTTCCAACCATAACAATTCTATGATTCTGAGTACAGTCTGGAGTGTGATAGATAAAACTCTTTTTCTGGACTTTGATACTGCAAGGGACTATGTGCTGCAGTTGTCTAGAATTACACAGGACTCAGAAGCAAGATTGCTACACTAGTTCTAAATTAGTTTTTTTAAATTGTTTTTCTGCTGAAATGTTTTCAAATGCATTTTGAAGGTGGTTATTATCCATGTTGTTTCTGCTCCTATATTTGGAGTCATAATAGTGTTTTGCCACAGAAACAACTCACTGTGGGGTAATTAGATACTGCACAAACTGTTCTGCCGTAACTGCAGCAGACATGAACTTGTTAACCTGTGCAACAGAGAGTACCTGATAGAAGCTTAGCCCGCTGTGAATGACAGGGCAGCTCCCTCAGCAGGGAACACGGCAAGGTAAAAGCTGGCACAAAGGCCCTTGGCACGCACTGACTTATGCCTTTGTCAAAGTCTTTAGCTTTTGAGGTACATCAGTTCTCTTAGAGAGAAAAAAAAACCAAACAAAACAACCAAGCACAAACAACATCTTCATGAAATCCCAGAATTTTTCCATCCTGCTGTTTACTAGGACCAGAAAAAATAAAGCTTATCCTGTTACCCCAGTGATCTGGAAGTTCTTTTGACTCCATCTACTGAAATGACAATACAGCATGCTTTCTGATCATATTTGCAGTTCTAAAATGTAAATACACAGATTATATGTTTACTAAAAATATCTGTACACAAGCAACGGCATCAACTGCAAAGTCATCACTTTTGCCTATTCCAGTATATCGCTTCAAATGCTCACAAGCCTGGAAAAACTGATGATAATAACTTTTGATTATAAACCAGTTTGTAGCCTATTGGCTCTCTGGCCAGACATGCCTAATTCCTCTTGTCATCCTTACAAGCACATGGACGCGCAAGCAGCAAGAAGGAACCCTACATGCAGCACTTCACTTTCTCTCAGTTCTGGATTCACGCCGGTCAGTTCGTGTTGGGCACAGTGCTCCATGCCCCGGTGGGAAAATCCCTCGAGCACCACTGTGATGAAGTGCCTGACCATGTAAGCAGCACCTCCAGCACCATAACCACTGGCCCAGCATGGACTGAGGACCACACCTGGGAGCATGCAGCCCCCCCAGGCCCCATGCACAGCCCAGCACGCATGAGGAGCTGCTGCTGGCAGCGCAGTGATGGTTCCAGTTACTTTTGGGACCTCAGTGGGGGGCTGAGCTTCCCACTGGAAAAAAAACAATTCAGCAATCCCAGAGAAGTGCTCTCGGGGCAGGGATTTAGGTACCAATCAACCAGATCCTTTTAGAGCCTGGGGTTAAACCAATCACCCATTTACTTTTCATTTCCCATTAACTAGGAAGACTGCAGCAGTGTCCCAGTAGTGCCGAATGTGTATAGTGAATAGCGTACGCTATTGCTTTGGGGAGAGATCTTTTCTTTTAAAGAGGCTGTTTTACATAGGGAATACCTTAGCTCTCCTCCTTGGAGTATAGCATCTAATGAAAAAAAAAAAAAAATCCCAAAGCCCACGTCAGAACTCTACCCACACAGACAGATAATTTTGACTCACTCTCCAGAAACCTAGTTAAAACTGCGGAATAACGTAGCAGTCTTCCTACGTTAGACCCAAGCACCCGCTGCCTTTACACTCGGGCCAGCACAAACCTTCCCTGTCAAGCAGCTGTTTTGCTATTCGGTACCTCCTAAGGCGGTACCCAGCTGTACACTCCGCGTGACAAGGACCTCCCTATTTTCACATGTTTACAGAGCACATAGCATCACTATGAATCTCCCAGGAAGATCTGTCAGGCGCTATCATGGTATCAATCATAAGTAAGTAACAGAGGGTCGGTAAAAGCACATTACCCAGGTAAGCTGCAAGGAACATTCATTATGTAAGGTTACTACTTTTCTCCCTTTACCTCTCTACCTTCCAAGTAACATACCGGCAGGCAGAAAAACTTTTCGTATGCAAGTCAATTAAAAATTCAGAGGTCATGCCATTTGAACTAGAAGTTGGTTTTCAGTAAGGTAAATTAAACCACATTTAAAAATTAATAAATAAATAAAAGGTTATGAAAAAAAAATCCTTTTCTGGGTGGTGTACATAAGGATTATTGTGCCTTAACTGTCACTTACGTCCTGTTTCAACAGTTAAACAGTTTTCACTGTTTAAACAGTGAAAGTTCACTGATGGGTCTGCCAGAGAAGGTGAGGCAGGTGAAACACCCCAAACCCCCAGGCAAAATTCTCTTGCCTGAACCTGTGAGGAAAATCAATCTTTCCAACCATGAACAAAACCCTTGAAGTGATGTGATGCTTGGTGTGAAAATAGCTAACAACATCTATCGGCATCGATCCCCCTGCCTGAGTCCCACCACTCCCCCAGGACCTTACTGTGATAAGCAGGAGAAAACAGGAGCAAAAATCCCGGTGCCCAAACCCCTCAAAAGGCAGGTATCTTCCAGTTCAGCTGCCCAGGCGACATGGAGAATTCAGGAGTAGGAGCGTCAGAGCAGGCACCGCAATCAGAGGTGGCTCGTAGCACTCCACCGCTGCCCCTGGCAGAGGGCTCCAAATAAAAATCAAAGCAACACATTTCTTTTCAAAACAGAGTCAAAAATATTTTTTTAAAAAATCTCATTGTCTGAGTACCTTTGATTCCTGGCTGGTAGTTGATGCTGGAGAGGGGGGCTGCTCTGTGCTCTCCACTTCATTCTCTTTCTCCACACTATCCACGCTGACTTCAGTCGTGCTGCTCGGAGGAATCATTTTACCTCTAAACCACTGCTACTATCAGGAAAAAAAGCTACAGACCTTTCTCCCTTTTTTTCATTTAACGTCCTCTTTCTTCTCTGCTCCCCTAGAGCAAATGAACTCCGACTGCTTGGTTTCACTACATTTGCAAGACTAGAATTCTCTGGATTTTCCTTTTTTCTCCTTCTCCTCCTCCCCCCTCTTTCTCCTCTTCCTCCTTCCTCCCTCCCCTCCCCTATGCAATTCTGCTGCGAGGGGAGTAAGTTATCGATGGCTCTGTAGGTCAGTTGTGTGCCTGCTTCTGTCTTTTCCCGGATTCTCCTCCCCGCCGTGTGAAGCCCGGAGGTGTGGAGTAGAGTCGTGACCGTCAGCCCCACGATGAGAGGGGAGGGAGTCGAAGCAGAAAGCCCGAGCCACGCACACACACGCGGGGCACTGGAGGGAGGAGTTGTATTTCTGATGCCGGGAACGGCTTTGGAGGAGCGTGTGCTGTCACAGTAGTGAAAGAAAGTAAAGCGCGCATGCACACACACATGCAAACCGAGAGGCAGGCAGTGTATATGAGGTTTGGGAGCGTTTTACCTTTTAATAGGCTGGAGAAGGCAGAGCCGGAAGGGCAGCTTTGTATTCTTACAAGTCTTTATCTATAGAAGGACTCTGGAAAGAGAGGAGAAAAATCAGTCTTCCCTTACCTTGTCCCAGAGAAGATTATTTAAAATCCTAGCTACTCAGTGTCTCTAAAGCTCCCACCTTGCCTTACATCCCAAACTTGCCAGTAAGTGACAGGACAGAGCCAGGGGAGAGTCACCCGTGGATCCACATGTTCTTTGCTCCCCTCCCAGGCAGGGATGCCCAGCTCGAGCCATACACACGCCATCAGGGTCAGCTGGAGCTTGCAGGACCACACACATCCTATACCTGTAGGTTGTCATAGTGATAACACCCCATCGGGCAGGGATGGAGCAGACGCAGCCATGGGGAAGGGCCCACCAGCTTCCCCCAGTGCCGTCGTTCCTGAGGACGCGGCACCCGAAGTCACTCTTGGAGCTGCAGTAGTGCCAGCAGAAGGTCAGCATGACTTTGCTGGCTGGCTTAGATTGCTTTATATATTGCTTAAGTTTTTGCCTCTGCTGCAAAGCTGCCTGTCAGCTCTCTTCCCTGCTGAATTAAGGTCCGTACTGTTAAAGGTTGAATGGATGTGTTCCCCACCAGAAATATTCTTTGCAGATTGGGAATCACTCCATATGGCTGGTGGAGACGTCTCTTTCATTTAAAGAAAACAGAAAAAAAGGAACCCAAACATGTTTCCAATAAGCAATACTTACATCCTGGAAAGTGAGAAGAAAAATGTTGCTTAGTTGATCTATACTGGAGGTATGGGTGTTTGGAGGTGATTTGCTGAGGTCGGAGTCAGAGAAGAACTTCAGTACCCCGTAGCTCTGGGAGAGGGTACCAGATTCCCCTTCCAGCCCCATCCCTTAGAAACACAACTGCCACCTGGAGCTGCCCTGCAGACCCCCTCCACCTCAAATAATCAATGTGTGAAAGTGAAGGCAAGTTTTCAAGGTAGCAGGGGTTATACGGATGAAAGTCAGAGAAGAAACTGCCCTGCAGTCTCTGTATTCTTAACAACTATGCAGAAACCAGGAAAAAAAAAATAAAAAAATCAGCTTTTCTTTCAACCCCCAGTGAATTTTCCAGGACTGGCAGTTAGATGAGGAAAAAAGCTTTATTTCTTTGAAATAGAGCATATAAGATACTGAAATCTTTAGCAGACAATAAACATGAAATGTTGCAATGCTATTTGTACAGCTACTTCAGAGCAAAAGCGTGTCTTAGGAGTCTGCCGGCAGAACCCATTGTTTGGCCTGTAGTCGCTGACACCATTACGGGGATCAAAACGAGAACACTGGTGGCTGTTGAGGCAATGTCAGTGACAAGTGAGATTGAAGCAAGGAAATACAGAGCTCAGAGGGGCGGATTTGGCAGGTAAGTAAAAGATTTTTTTCCAAGGGTTTGATTTCTAAAATACAGCAGTATCTTAGACCATTCTCTTCAGATCCGGAGGAATTCTCCAGGTGCAAAGCTCTTTTCTTCCACTCAGCAAGTGAGATTTGGGCTTTGCTGTAAAATCAGTCTCTTAGCAATGAGTGGGGACTGGGCAGAGTCACAGTTTGGGAGAATTAGGACAGCTGTGGGCAGTGGAAATCTTGGCAGGGCGACAGCAATTGAACGCTCCAGCCCTGGCAGCGGCATCCTTCCCTGATGGTCCAGCCTAGCACAGCCAAGGCAGGGCCAGGGCACAGGGTCCGGCCCCTGCGAGGGCTGTTCTGTGTGCCCAGCAACGTGACAGGCGGGACCCACAAAACTAACTTTTGTCCAGTTCCCCAGCAGCGTTGGGAACCAGTCTTTCCTGTTAAGAGGCTCAAAAACATCTTCTGCTGGTGAGCTTCTAGGTCATCACTGAAATGCACCTGGAGTGGCTGATTAGTAGTTAATGCTCTAAGCGTTGTAACATCTTGCACACATTTTGTATGAAACACTTGTGACGTCATGACTGTGTAAGTGACTATCATACCACTCTCTACTCTCTCTTTTTTGGTTGTTTTACCAAATTAGCACTAACACCTGCTGCACTCCCTCTCTTCTCCCAATTACTCACTTGTCAACCACGGCTGATCTGTCGGATTCTTGACAATTAGCCTAGGAAAGATGAGTCAAACCTAAAATCTTACCAAAAAAGCAAAAAGGAAAAGCAGTCGGATTTCTTATGTTTTTATTTCCTTCTACAGGAGCTGGCTATTGAAAATCAAATATTCAGTATGACAAAACAGACTGATCAAATGAAATGAACCTACATCTCCCTCTCCCTCCCACGCTTCACTCCTGAGAAGTTGGACCTGCGATTACTGCCGATCAGTCTCTGAGCGAAGGTACTCGGCAGAAATGTGAGCACTGCAGCACAGCGCTAAACAAGAGGAAATTTAACAGATTCTCCAGTGAAGAGTGTAGATTTTGGAGTGGGGAAAGGCAATTTGGATGAATAAAACATGAGAGCCGATTCTCAGCTCCCAGCTGAAGTTGTTGCACCGCGTAAAGGCGCCTGAATATTGCCTGGAGTCACCGCCAAGCATTTCCCTGCTGGGTGGTCCGAGGCCAACTGCATGGGTGCTACACCTTGTCCCTTCTCCCTCTCTCCTGCTCTCGGCCCCCGTGCCCCCCCAAGGTGACAGGGGATGATGCAGAGCAAAGCTCTGCACCGGGGCTCCAGCAGCTCTTCCTAAGCTCTGGCTCCAGCCGGCACGTTAAGAGCATCCCAGAGGATCCTGACACCGGGAATATATACATCCTGTTGTACTGTCAGGTCCTACCTGCTCTAGAGAGCTCCTCAGTGGCACGATTAAGCTGATGTAGGGGCTTCGGTCAATGCCATGTTCTTTTGCCTTCTTTTTCTGGTAGAGACATTCCCTTGAAATATTTGAGCACCTTTCTGCAAAAGAGGTACAGGAGTAGAGCTTCATTTCACCAAAGGAAAGATATGAAATTAGTACTTATCAAAAGATGTTATTCCTGTTTAGACCCTCATGTATTTACTAGAGAAAAACAAGAAGCAAAGAAGAGAGTGGGAGCTATAGGTGTCATTATTCACCACCCGGTGCAGAAATCACTCCATACTCCTGAGCAAAGAGGATATAAGGGATCGTATAGAAACAATGCTACTGATAAATGGCACCGGTTTAAACCACTACGTACCTCTCTCTAGAAATGTGGAAAGCAGTGAGGAATCAGGCTGGTTGCCACCAAAGCAGAACCCTCAAAGAAAAGAGGAATTAAGTCTACTGAGAGTCCAAGAGGAAGCATCCAAGACCAAGTGCCACAGAAAACTGTTGGGCATAGAAAAAAGGTTGTGGTTCTGGCACTTGCAGTGAAACTTGATCAGCCTCTGCCCAAGTCCCTCAGTCCAATTGATGAGTGTTCCAGGGGGGAAATAGTAGCTTCATTTCTTGGTCAATTCAATTTTGTCTTTGTGGAAACTGGCAACAGGATACCCTTCTAGTGCCATTTGTGATGGGAATTTTACTTTTGGCACGGTGCTTTTGGCCAGACGGACTGGTGGACATCCTCACTAGGCTCTCCTCTCAAACACCTACGATCACCCACAGCTGGTGACCAGACTGCAAAGACCACAGCATCGCTCTGGTGGAGCATCTGCCTGTGTTTCCAAGTAACAAGCTTGTGGGCACTTCTCGCCAGCAAACATTATACCCACGGAGAAAACAATATTAAAATAGTATCATGTGGTTGGGTTTTTTTTGTTTATAGTCACACACCCCTTGTTTGCTTTCAGTACATTCTTGGCAGATCATCAAGCAGCTGACAGAGTAATAAACCCCCCTGGATTCTGCTTATCAAAAATGCCATCTGAGGGCTACAATCACCAGCTCATCAAGCTGGAAGCACAAGCTGGTCAATGCTCTGAAAGCATTCCCAGGACTAATGGGACACTGGTGGTTTGCATTTGAACTAAAATGATCTCAAAGTACTTTTCAGAGTTAAAGTATTAAGCCTCCCACTGCTCCAGGGAGTGATTATACTGTAGCAAACGAGTAAGGGTGGAGGAAGCCAAACCAACAGATTTGTGCTTGTACTTAAGCAGGGAGAGAAATGAAACCTCTGCCTGAGTACTAATTTCAAAACCCTCTTCCTCTCCCATCCATGGCAATGCCACAGGGAGCGATGCAGAGATCACGCTGCATCTTGGGCAACTTGGATCCGTCTTTCAGAGAGATCACAATGAGACTGGAACACTGCTACCCAGACATCTAGACCAGGAGAAAGAAGAATGCTGCATCCTCTTGTGACAGCAAGAAATGTTTGAGAAGGGGAGAAGAGGATGTAATTATAAAAGATGGAATTTAGCCAAGATACAGCATGTAATATGTTCAGTCTTACAAAAAAGCATTGCAATACCTTTAAATAACCAGTGATAGTCCCGACCCGATTTTACATCTCTG